GTACAATACTAATCTCTCTCTCTCTCTCTCTCTCTCTCTCTCTCCCTCCCTCTCCCTTTTTCTTTGTTTTGCAACTCTTTTTTTTTCAAACATTATGGAAATAGTTGGAAAAATATGCACTTTTAAATATTTCAAGTCATATTTACTGTGAACAGTTATGTAAAAAGTTTTGTGACACTTTTTCCCTCTCCTTTTTTTCCCTTTTGTTTGCATATTATCATTTTCCTAAGGGAAACACACTGATATGGCTATCAGTACTTGAACAAAATTATGAATTTAGTCGATTATGGAAGGAAACCCAAAAAGGATATTCAAGAATAAAGCGTAATGTTAACAGAAGCAAGAAACCATGACAATCCAATTTTTTGTTCTAATCAGAATAATTGATGTAATCATTTAATCAGTTGATATGGTCAATTAACCAAATGATATTCAAAACTAATTCTTAATAATCAATCATCCCGATTCTTTGTTTTTGTCGCTCCGAATAATGTAGCAATTTGGCTGATCAACAACTGAATGGCTTATCAGCAATCAATTAAAGTATTAACAATTGGTCAACCGATAACAAACCGATCAGCTAATCTAATCTACAACTGATTAACTTAATAACAATCAACCAACTGATCAACGATTGATTCACTTTAAGCAATTAGTATTTAATTACCATTTTACACCATAATTTTGCTGCACATTGATTTCACGTTAAACGTGAAATCCGTGAAAATCGACGTTGAATTACTAATTATTTTTGAAAATTTCGGATGTATCACAAAGAAAAAGTCATTTGAAAGGAATGAAAAAAAAAGCGAAAAATGCTAAATAAGTGAAATGTAAGGACAAAAACAAGTTTTTTTAAAAAAAAGTCATTGAAATGACGTCAGAGGGTGAAAGAATGAATGATATCAATGTAACAAGATATCATTGATCATGTCATTAACGTCATCAATGAGCAAGATTGTGTAACTTGAGGAATCATTAAATGATATGTAAAATATGATGTCACCTGGTATTCCCCGGGAAACAAATGAGTTTTCCTCTTTTTCTACAAATCTATGTATTGGAACTTATCATCTCCACTGTTGTGATTTGAATTGTTTTAAAATAAGTGTAAAAGCCATATTAGACTAATTACATAAATTTATTTCTTCGTTTTTTAATTAAAACTTTTTTTTGATAAACTAAGACTTATTTGAATAATTTACAAAAGTGAGAACGGTTCCTCTCTTTCTCGTTCATTTTTATTTCGCATTTATTCTTTATAGACTGTAATACACAAATTTAATTAATTTTTAGGATGGAATTTTATGCAAAAATTACTTCGAAACCACGACAAAAGACTGAAACAATTGTCAAAAGCAGTGATCAAACGTCGCATGATAAAAAAACAGGTAATATTAGATGCAAATTTTCTAATTTTGTTAATTCAGTTCCATTTTTTTAAGCTTAAAATTTTCAAAAACTCAAAAGACACTTGAACGACATTTCAACTTTTTACTTTTGCGGAATTACTTCTTAATTTATTAATGGCTAACGTTTGTCAATTTAGTCCAATAATTGGTATTTAACTTATTAGTAAGTTATCAAACATTTCAGTTTACTTATTTTCCTCTTGTATTGCTGTTTTCACGAGTAATGCCACTTTTTGAATAAGCTGAAACAAAGTTATAAGAATGAAATTTGTAAAATGTAAATATCGAATGAAATTAAAGCTTGTTTGTTGTGTTTTGTGAATTTCCAATAATTATTAACTACTTTTTTTTGAAAACTTTCAATTTTTTTTTCTTTCCAGGATGTAATAAATTTTCACCGAGAAATTCGCTCCGTTCAACAAAAATAAATAAAGAATTGCCTGATTATTCATATCTTAATATGTTCGGAAGTGTGAACTTGCCTTAAGATTGATTTTCCAATAAGCTGTAAATAACTAATTTCCCAATAAACTTCAAATAATTAATTTTTCTGAGCTGTAACAATTGCACCACAGATTTTAATATAGCAATTGGATAATCCTTCTTCGTTATTTCGTTTTGTCATTTGGAAATTATAGATAGGACACTTTCACTACTATTAAATTACGGGTAATTAGGGTACTTATTTTTGAAGATCATGGGTAACTTTGAATATTTATAGATAATTAAATTTCTTTTTCTGCAAAGAGTTCCCTAGTAACTGTTTTTGCAGAATCTTCTACACTTTGTATGGGCGCCAAGTAATTGAAATATTTTAATTAAAACTATTTCAAAAACTGAAATATTTCATCCATAAATTACATTTAAATAAACATCTCACACTCCTTACTTTAATGCATTTCCACCTGTTCTTTTTCCTGACAATGTTAATTAAAACATTCAGTGAAAAACATATATTATTTCTAAAATATATTGAGCATTAATTGAAGGATGCTTCCTTCCCTTCTCTCGAATCTAATTCCCATCCCTGAAGCACTTTTTACCAACAATTTTCTCCTGTTTCTTTGTTGTGGCGACTCGAATTCAAATAAAACATTTATTACTAAATTAGCCTGCCGCATATTAATTCCTATGTCCTCCTTTAATTCCCGAGATTCTGGCACTAGAACACAAAGTGCATTGAACAATCTACCAAAATCTGTATGCAAACCAGCATATTTCCGGCCTACTCAACCGGTTGCTGAACACTGGCTCTCATGTAGTCTCTTTTTTTTTGCTTTAATTAACCGATTCTCCCACTATAATCTTCCTATAAACTACCGCCATTCTTCTAAAAAACATTTTCAAAGGAATATCCCTTGGACCAATCGATTATGTATGATTCTCATATATTTTCAGTGTTGCATCGCTTAAACTAGAACATCGAAATCCGGACTTACTTCCTTCATTTAACATTAAACTAATAACTCAACCTATTTTCCAACAAAAACATCAGTGGGAATTTTCATATTACTCCCTCATTTATGCATCCAAACTGAAAGCTCATTTTTGATGCAAACCTAAATGGATGCAATATCCATGATTTGCTATCACTAATAAAATGTACTCAATCCTTAAAGCAAAACAGTACTTATAAGAGACAGAATATTAGAAAAAGCAATATAAGACAGTGATATTCTAATCAACGTATTATCCACGTTTTAAAATGAAGACCTATTAAAGATCAAAAATAAAAAATAAAATTTACGGGAGAATTATGACATGGTATAATTTTCATCAAGAAAATTTGAGGTACTCTGGAATTGTTTTTATTATTTTTGAAAATAAATTGCGTATAGAAAAATAACTAAAACAAACAATAAGAAATGTTCACAGAAATACAAACCATGCACAAAGACACTTAAAAAACACATAAAAAAGTTTGCATGCAGCTGACGCGTTTTCACAACATTTTATGAAGTAGTTTGTTTCGTTTCTGAGTTCACACCAGCCATATCCCTGCCAGTTGCACTATTCTCTTCAGTGACATGCTTCGGATCAACGATCTTGAAAAGCCCATTAGCTTGAACTCGTACATCCTGGAATGATCGCCCATCTTCATCCGTTCGCAGCCTACTTCGAAGCTGACCACTTACGTATACTTGTATTCCTGAAATACGCTGATAGTTTGATAGAAATGTTAAATGATGAACCATCTGACAATTCAAAAACAATTGTTTTTAAACAAAAAGGACCATCGAGAAATGATCGAAACATATACCTTCACGTACGTGATCTTTGATATAATCGACTATATTATTAGGCGCAAAAACATCGACAAAGGAGACAAATCGTCCAGAACCTCGGCGATCAACTTCAATAAAATTCTACATATATCTGACAGTTTCATCCATAAATTCAAAGTAAAGAATGCTTTATGTTTCAAATTTTTTCCTTGAATTTTTAATTTCTAAGAGAAATGAACAGAATACCACTTGTTGTTGACATCTTTACAATGGCATACTGCCGGCCAGTAGGCATCGTGTATACTCTCGGTGGTCCTCGAACAATGCCAGTCACTTCGATATGATTTTCACTGCAAAAATATACGGCATGAAAGGGGATAACTAAGAGAAAAAATGTACTCAAGGTAATGTCAAATCTTGAAAACAATGGAAAAAAAAAGGAAATTCTTAATCCCTTATATTCCTAAAGTTTTTCTTGTTCATAAAAGTACTGCAAGATATCTCATTAGAAAAAAAGAAAAAGGAAAGAAGAGAAAAACAATCAAATGCCCCACTCAAAATTATAACGTGCCCTGGGATCTACATCAGCTTCTGTTCCTCCAAAATCTTCAGCATCTGTAGAGAAATTCGCACTATCATCGCTAATTTCTTCAACTGTCTTTTGGCCTTGCGCAGCCAAACTTCTTCCAGCATGCTAAAAAAAAAGGAAATATTGGAATACAATTCATTCTGCCAGCTATATACACAGAATTTCGCTAATGTATTTAATTCAATCTCTGAAATAAATGCAGTAACGATGGGATCATGCTGAAAAACTGGTTGCAATGAAGTGAATTACTGCATCTTAACGTTTAACTCACTAAGTTGACAATAAAGTCACTTATTGCACTAAGATTACCTACTGCACCAACGTTACATATCAATAATGATTCCTTTTTACAATACTTCATTTACTGGAAAGGAATTATGCATACCTGTAGCAGCTGTGTCCGTTGTATAGCAGGCCATCTTACAAATACTCGACCCAGTAACTGGAGCATTTTCCTGCAATGTTCATTAATTATTAGTGAAATGCGAACCTTATGTTATTACATCGATATCCATTTACATCCCTAATTAAAACTTCCCTGAAACAACCCGCACAATTCAGAATAATATCTGAAGGCATAAGAGGATATAAATAATATATTTCAAGGATACTTACCATGCATTTCAAATAAAATGCATAGCATGCTTTAGAGAAACCTTTCAAATTATTCACACCAATTTATGCAATATCAATACATTTAGTACAGTATTACATAGACAGATGTAATACCGTACTGAGTGAAACTATACATACACCATGTATACCCAACCGTACAATAGATGTCAAAAGATTGCATAGGAATACTCACACAATATGTCAACATATTGGTTACAGTTACCTGACAGATACTATACAAATGATCCGAATCTTACTTGGAAAAGTGTTAATCTCTTCCGATATAGAAGAATAATCGATGAGTAATGGATCAGCATGGTATAGGTTTAGAAATTAAACTACAGAAATAATACAAGTAATTTGAAAATAGTACAAAAATATGATAAATTTCAAGAGGTACCACAACGACAGAGATTAAGAGCATAATTGAAAAGAACATTGTTTTTGATGAGCCTGTACAGACTGATAATTGATAGAGAGAATATACCAATTACTACGAAATCAGGATAAAAAGAATTGAACTCCCTAAAATTACTTTGCAATTTTCGTTTAGACTTGACTGAACGTGTTTATGGTGATACAGCGAGACGATTTCCTCCTACGTAGTGGTGCAGACCACTGGCCTCCTGAACTCCCTAAAACTCGAAATACACGGACAGGTTTAAAATGTGTTTGGATGAGGTAGTGGAAGGCTATACTGGGCTCTTAGGGTTCTCTAGGATATGTAAAGATAGTAGGCCCTTGGGGGGAGGGAGGAGAAGGGGTAAATTTTGTCATATAGGTTCATAGGATTTCATTATGAATTGAAGGAGGGGTATGGATGAAATTGTTTGAAATTACAATATTTCCATATATCAACGTGAACCAGTGACTTGCATTTGCTAGGAATTCCTCGTTCAGTTGCACTAACTGCAGTTCCTCATTTCGACCACAGAAGATTTTATATGATCTTGAAATTCTAGGGAGATTTTCGAAAGGAATGTTCCGTGAAGTATTGTCAAGATATGCTCCAGGCTTACCCATAGCGCAACAGGTTTTGTATATCCTCATACTTTCTCTATCTTCGTAAATAGAACCTAGTCTTTGGTTTCTGGAAGAAATCTTTCTTTGGGTATTGTAATTAGTTATTTGATCGACATATCTTGTTTTTATATGCGAAGTTCTTTTAGGATGTCTTTTTATGGGTGTGAGAGATAGATTGACTAACTTTGGAAGAAATATGGTTGATATGTTACTAAAAGCAATGAGCAAATTCACAATATCCATGCATAATTTATTTTTCCAAAACAACTAGAAGTTAAGTCTTCAGGTTTCTAGACGACTGTTTGCAGCGGAAGCCAATTTACAGCATCCCGCAGATACAAGCAGTCAACCATCGTTAGACAGACCTAACGAGCAGATGACTTCGACGGTTAGTCGTAGGAAGTAAGGTATCCCGTACTATTCGACTATTACTATTGTTCTGCGACTTGTAGAATTTCCATTCAACTCGTTAATATATCATACTTGATTTTTTTGTTAAAAATTTTGGGAGGGTATTTTCAAACTGCGTCAGTTATAATGAAGCATTGTGGTTGCTTGCTTAATTACCTAATTAGTCAGTTGGTTGGTTAATTAATTGGTTAGTCAGTTGGTCATCCGTTTCGGTGATAACTTAGTTTTACTGATAACTTAAATTATGCAATTAACTAATGAATTTATTAAACTAGTTCGACTAGTAATAAATTTATGAAACTAGCTAATTCCATAATTATTAAGGTGGTGAGTTAGCTGTTTAATTGGTTGCATAGTTATTCTCCTGTTCATTTCGGCCAGTCGTTTATTTTTGTTTACAAGAAAATTATATTATTTTGTAGCATTAATCGAGTTTGCCTTAGTGGAACAGTAACAGGCAAACCGTTTTATGGAACAACCAAAAATGGCGGCAAATTTGGAATTGTTCGAATTACTTCAAATTCATTTGGAGGTATCGTTTATTGTATAATATACGTCACCGATTTTATGTCGAGAAATGAACGTAAAATTTAAGAATAAATTTTGTTAAGATTCATTGGAGTGTTTGTTATTGAACGTTCATGAAGATTTTATTGTTGCTTATTGCTTTCGTGTTTTTATAGATATAAGACATAGATGTAATCCAAATTTGTACATTATTATGCTTCTGACTGATCGTAGATGATGATGTCACCAAGAAAAATAAGTTGATTTTTAAAGAAATGTTTTTTTTTTTTTTTTGTTTTACAAGGTTAAAAAAGCCTTCAGTACATTTGGATGCTTTATAGGTCAGTATGATTTCCGAGTGCGTTTAGGAACACGAACTTCGCTTGCATATTGCAGGGAAAATGTCGATGAAGGTAAGCTTTGATAGTGAAATTAAAATCATTGTTCAAATTATTCCTCAAAATATGAGAATTTCACTTTTATGCTTTGCATACTTTAGGCTCCCACTTGTTCGTTTTCGGTCGTTTAGCGACTTTTCCAAGAGCTGCAGCGGATGGAACGCAAGGTTCAAGTGGAACTGTAATGGCATCTCGCATATCGGTGGAAAGCAATTCTGCTGCAGCTGCTGTTAATGAAAACGAACAGTTCGATGATATTGACTTGTCAGCCGAAGAGGATTTAGAACAGAGTGAGACAAAAAAATGAACGTCTTTAATTTGTCATTATTTGTGATTGTTTGTGTTTTCTGATTGAGTTTCCGAATCGTCCATACCCATATATGTGTAAGGAATATTTTTTCCAAATAAAATTAGAATGGAAGGTCTGCTTTGATTGTACCAAAGAAGTTCTACGAGCTATATTTAAGATTTGACCTTTAATCTCTTAGATCTAATAAATCGAGTTGAATTTCCAACCATAATGAAGAAATAACGCATCTTGAAGGATAATCAATAAATAACTGGTGATGGAATAATAATAGATGATGATAATGGAATGTAAATGAAGGAATTTATAATAAACAAATATTCAGTTCCTTCCGGAAACTTGGTACTAGCTTTGGAGCAAAGTGTTTTGTTAGGGTGATTTGTATGATAGAAATAATATAAACAAGGGATTGTCGTTTTCAATGTATCAACCGTTGATATCAAAATTCAAAATTGGGGTTTGGTCAATCAGGTTTGGTCAAGAAGCTTGGAATGGTTGGTTTGCAGAAAGTTATTTTAGTTGAATTGTAATTCGTTATGCTGTAAAACTTTTCGACTTCCACTTTTTTCACAATGAAAGAAGAGAATTAGTACTGAGAGTGAGGTAACCGAAGTTTACACATATGTATATATTTGGAAGTGGTTGTATAAACGGGTAATATGAATAATCAACTAATAAAATGATACTTTAGTTGAAATATAAAACTTGTTTGGTCCTGCCACTTCTTTACATTTGAGTGAATGATGTTGAGAAGGATTGGATGCAGATGTGTTGCAAGTGACGATATGACGATATGTAAACATTTAAGTTTCGTTTAGTATATCATCCAGCAATTCGATTATAATTGAACGCTTAGATAATTTCTTTTTTTTGAATAGGACGCGAACAGTGAAATGTCTATGATACAACCTTGCCATGATGTTAAAAATTAATCTTTCCAGAGTGAAATATTTCGTTGTTCGAATCACTAATCGCTTAGTTCAATGTCATCAAATCCATTTGACGATAATTATGTAAATCCGAGTATTTACAAAGGTAAATACAGACTTGTTTTATTTTATGTCCGTGCTGGTTGCATTTTTCACCCAGATTTGCTTTTCATCGTAACTGATAATTGGGAAATAGAAACTTTTGAAATTTCGAAGTTCTTTGTCTCGATTTTAATCCTTTTGCGTGAACGTTTTGTATCGTATACCACGAATAACCGAACAAGGTTTGACCCTGTAAGAAAAGGTATAAATTAATTCACAGCATTAGGTGATAATTTTGTTTATTTATCCTCAATAAAGTGTGATTGAATTGCATCATTTATTTTTGAATACCATAACAAACTCCATTCATTTTTTATTCACTTCGCCTTGTCTATATAACGTATTTAAATTATTAATGCACATTCAAATCCTTGCAATTCTGATATCTTATGCTACAAATATTGTTAATTATATTACGTAAAATTATTTCATATCCAGAAAGACTCTTTCTTAATGTTATAACCCTTCTCAAATCCTATGTTTGTTCCATTAGCTCAAGTTTTTAAAGAATTATTATTTAAGTGTTTAATAGTTATAAAACTGAATTTAAGAATTAAGAACATATTTCAAAGTTCACACTTGTTTGAGCTAAAAATTATTTGGTTTCAGGACCGGTGAAAAGTTACACAACGATGAATTCCAACACTGGTGGTGATAGTATCGAAGACGATGTTAATTTCTACGAACAAGAACTGGAGCGTTACATGCAAGAATCATTAGATAGTACAGAGCGATCAAGGAAGAATTTGGAACAAAGTGAACAAATTGGTGTCGCGACTGCGCAGGTATTGATTGTCGTCTTTTGTTTTAAAAAAGATATAAGAATGAATTCCTTTTGCATTTTGTGTAAATAATCTGTTTAGGATTTACTAATTCAAAGGGAGAAGCTGAAACATACGGAAAAGAATCTTGATGATATTGATAAAACAACGAAAATGACTCAGCGTAATCTGAATAGTTTAAAATCCGTCTTCGGCGGTTTCTTCAGAAATAAATTTTCTCGTGCTCCAAAGGAGGAATTGTCTGTAAGGTTTTCCTGTTTTTCAACACTTATAATTCGATAAAAGGTCAACATTGAATAAAATATCGAAAACACTGATTCTTTTCCTCTTTTTTTTAAAATATTGTTTTTCTGTTAATTATTACTATTATTCACATTGCAGTGAATTGAAATAGGGAGAATGAGGTTCACACTAGATTGCTTTTAGTCGAATTAAAGTGGACGTAATTGTGGAATAACGATTTCTAAAATTTCAAAATTGGAGTAAAGTTTATATGAATTCGATTTTCGTCATAGCACATACAGTATATTGATTGGCTGATGAATTATTGTTATAAGTAATATATCTAACGGTATATATCATAGATGTGTATACATAAGTTACAATGTACATACATATATATATGAACAATTGCAGATGGCTCCATCGAAATCGGATTCTGTTCTTGGGAATACTGTGGATAAATTAAGTACTGATACCAAAGCAGGTTCAAGTTATACTGGAAGCGGCTTGTCTGGTCCAACATTAAGTGAAAGCGCACGGGTTGCAATCAAGGGAACACGTTGGGAGACGATGGATAATGAAATTGATTCTAACCTCGGTAGTAAAATATTTCTTCGTATTTCATTCTGACAGCGTCATTTAATTTCAATAATATTTTGAAAGATAGAATGAATTTAGATTCAATGAGTTCGCAGCTAGCTCGGTTACGTATGCTTGGCAAGGCTATTGGTGAAGAAGTTGATTCCCAAAACGAAATGTTGGATAGAATTCAAGTTAAAGCTGAACGTACCAATGCACGTGTCAAGGATCAGGATAAGCAGGTTTATACTTTACATGGAGTTTTTTTTTTCTTGTTGTCTTAAGGAAAGATTTAATTTACATGCTTTCAATTTTAAGTTGTTACAGTAAGATCTTATTTTTTTTTTGAGAATTGAAATCATAATTCAGTTAACATTGATTTGATATTTTTTCAGATGAAAAAGTTGCTTGGTTCAGCAGAGAAGGACGAAATGCAACCTTCGCTGCCATCTGTTAGTAAGAAGAGGTGAACATTAACTGTAATTGTTGTTTCTCTTTTAAATTCTTAAGCTGAAAGTGATACCAAAATAAATGCGGAGCTAAGAAAGAATAATTGCTGACATGGGGTGTAGTTACAAGCGTGAGACTGTTGTGATGTTTGAAATCATTTTCAGAATTGTGTATAGTGCGGTCAAAAGTGCTTTCTAATATCCGAACAGCTGCAGATAATCGATGCGAATATCATCTTTTTCTGCTCACTTCTGTAATCTTTTTGCTTTAAAGTCTTTCCTATATACTCAAAATAATACATAAGTATAATATATGTTGTTAAAATATATTCATGAAAAGCTAAACTTTCCTTACGAAAATAAAATTCCACTACTAATGATATTTATTTATGATATTTTGTATTCATATTTCTAAAATGGCTATAGAACTTTTTTTTTTTCGCTAGTATTATAATTCAGTTCATAACGTATGCTACGTTTATTGCTAGTATCCTTAATACGCGTCCTTTTGCTTTTTATGATGAAAATTTTTATTAGAAGGATTTTTTCTCCCTCTCTCTTTCAGTGGTTTTGTAACAAAAGTAGTAGAATTAATAGAAAGTGGTATTAGTATAACAGCGAGCTTATTGATTTTTACATATCTCCTCTACCTTCAAATTTTCACTGCCACATGTGCGGGATTATTCTTTCAAAAATACTTAATGGCAAATCTTTTTCCATTATTATATCCAAGTGATTGTTTGTGGCGTTTTCCTCCGGTAATCTATTTTTCTGCATAAAATCTTTTGGTCTACAGTGATGGAACTTCGTCATATTTCACGAGTGCTATTATATACTGGACATCTTTGACGCAAAACAGAACGACACATCTGCACCTTTATGATACTTCTATCCCAAAACGAGAGACGAAATAAATTTGCACAGATTTGAAATAATCTTAGTTATCATAATTAACATTAGCAATTAGCAGGTGTAAACAATTGATAGCCATGGAAATAGTTCACAGAATTTTCCGATAAGTTATTCGTTATCATCGGTGTGTCCGTCTCAGTTTAATGGAGGTTTACTTTATGTCAGTTGATTGACGATGAATTTTAGAGAACAGAAACTGTTATGATGCAGTAGCATCCATGTTTTTCCATTCATACTCATTACATAGCCATATTAATCATTTTTCCATTTTGCATTATTTGTCATTGGTTCAGCGATAATAATAATAAATTTTGGAAATGAAAAATAAGGAAGAACTAACACTCTTATCTTTTTCGATTAATTAGTTAATCATAACTCATTTATTCCAGTCTTGAACGACTATTTCCTGTAAGAAATGCATAACAGTTGATATTACCCAAAGGTTGTAAACAATAAAGGCTAGTTGTTGTAGTGTAGGAGAAATCACCAGAAGCACAAATAACATTGAAATATCCGCCAAGAATTGCTTCAGCTGCTCGCATTATTTTTGTTTTTGCTTCTTTCGCTGTTTGGCCAGCCATATTCTATAAAATATTAAAATTATATCAAAAATTTTTGTTCAACTGCTTTTTCTCTTTCCCTCTAAATTTAGTCATTTTATCCTAATTGTCATTAATTAATACACCGAGATTTTTATGAACCGATTGATTTAAATACAAACATTAGTAGTAATAGCAATTAATTTGTTGACTTTTGCAAATGAATTCTTACACAGTTAATCAATTTCTATTAAACGTCGCCTTTTAGAACGAAAGCAAAATTGTTCTTTCTATAACAATCATCTCTCTTACTAACTGCTTAATCATTTCCCGTAATTAATGAATGGTCTAATATAAGGAAAATATTATTGTAATTACAAAAAAATCATCCTTTATAATAGTAAATTGTTACACAATTAAAGTAAACAAAGAAACTCGATTAAAAAAAAAAAAAGAAACGTTAAATGGATTAATTAATTTTAGTCAAAAATGGCTAATGAATGATTAAAATAACCAGAATAGAACGAGTGAAAGCAAACGTATCCTTTTAAGAACACTAAAATGTGATATAAACAAATATGAAAATACTTTAGACAGTAAAAGAGCCTTATAATAGTGGCAAAGTAATAAAGGTGTCTTATAGTAGTGTCAAAACAATAAAGGTGTCTTATAGTAGTGTCAAAATAATAAAGGTGCTTTATATGAGGAATAAATTGTTAATCGTTAATCGTTAATTATTGTAATACATTGATGTATGATGAAATTCTTTTCTTACATCAAAATATAAATGTTGTATAAATGTTAAAGAATATAACCAAATAGAAACAGTCGAACACACATACTTAAAATGTCAACTGTCACAGAGTTTAAATCATACATAATCTTTTTTTTTCCTCTTCCATTCTTCGTTGTAAGAATGATATGATAAGAAAGTATAAGAACGAATGATTCATTCACCTGTAGCATTATATTTTGCAAACTTTTGCTATTGCATTTTTCTTCATCGATAATTTCCACTCCTTCATAATCCACTTCTCGTCTTTCTATTTCATGATTCATATTAGTTTCGTTTGTCCCACCAGCACATTTCAATTTATATTTTCCTTCTGATGCATATTTCCAAGGTATTTTATCCTTACCTGCTGTATCATTAGATAATAATGATGATGATAATGGTGATGATGTTACATTCGGAAAAAGTGTAATGAAGATGAATAGTTTCTTCAAGTTATCTTCTTTCATCCTGAATTTTCATTTCACATGTTTAATTGAAATTGCATACACCTTTAAAGATTTATTGATTAACTGCTAACGAAATAATTACTGAAATTGTCATCCCTTATTTTTTGCTTACTTATACATTGGACACGTTTTCTAAACCTATTTAGAAGTTCACGTTTTCTAAGCTTATCTTAGTTAGAAGAACACGTTACTTATGTACACTTATTTCATTTTTTATTAAATATTACAAAGTTGTATACATTGAATACTTTTCTTCTCTTTTAAAAACACATTTTGCACGAGTATATGTTGAATAATCCTTAACATAATAATTGCATAACTTTGAACAAAAAGTAAGCAAAATATGCAAACTGATTACTATCTTCTCATCTTTTTTCTTACCTTTCGTTACAGTATGCTCGAAATAATTATGAGTTATACTTATCCTTCTCGCTAAATTCTAACCAACCTATATAATTTCTTAATCAAATTTGAAATGAATACTAATGGAACAAATTGAAAGGCTAAAAATTTAGTTAAACAAATATTGCATACTGCGATATTAAATGAATTTATTCATTGTTTGTCATTATTATTAGCATTTGGAACTAATTAATTTGGGATTGATATGCAATAATATGAAATGTTAAAAAATAATTTCCAATATGCGTTTTAGATTACAAATGAAATTAAACTGATGGATAAAAGATATGAGTGAGATTTGTAAGAAGTAAAGTTAGGATGGAATGTTATCTTGGATTGTACCATATGTTTTTGCAGGTCATAAATCGGATCCTATAACATCTATTCATCTTTTAACATTTAGAGGGAAAAAAAAGGAAAGAGAAAGACAAATGAAATGAATTATAATCAAAATGAAGAAATAACATGACATTCTGTCCTCTTTCAAAATTTTTTCTCTTCCAATTCATAAAATGACCTTTTCCTTTTGTGGGGTAAAAATTCTTGTTTTCAAGTACATATATTAATTACTTCATTTGTAGAAACAATTCATTTGACAAAATATCATATTATTTTTTCCTATTTCCAGTTAAAGTTTTTTTTTTTTGATTGTATTGAAATCGATGGGATAAATAATTTCATAGAAATAAAACAAGTTAATTTTTCACTAATTTTGGGACAGAAAACATTGATAATTAATAACTTTGACGGATTTCAATCATGAATACTCGCTTAAATATATTTTACTTTTCAAAATTTTTCCATTGAGGTTTTTGATTACAAGTTATGAATATCTATTCATTCATGTGATAAATTTGATAACTAAACAGTTTTTGTCTTTAAAAGTCTTATTTGCACTGGAAAACTTGATAGGCTCGACAATTTTTAAAAACTTCATAGTCTAATTCCTTTTATCTGATTTAATGATACAATGAATAAATGAAAATATATATGTAATTGTCACACATCAATCAGAAGGAGGCATTATTACTACTTCGAAGATTACATTTGCGTAGCTGTAAGAATGATATCATTATCACTACTCATATATGTTAAATATCATTTTCATGATGCAATCAAGAGTGTCGCAATTGCTGCTAGCATGACAGGACCAAGCATCTATTAAGACGAACTCTTCTTCCCATCATAGTTGCAAACCATAAGTTTGTCATTTCATATAATTTTTTTAGCTATTACTTTCTTCTAAATTCATCCATCTCTGTCCCATCAATGTTACATTCATACCTCTGTCTGTTTCCTTCTGACGATCTCAATAAATTAAAACGATCGATACTTCTGTTTACGATTTCAAAAACAGTCCCCCTTAGTTCGACAAGTTTTTGAATAAACGAAATTTATTTACTGACATCAGTGGTATGAAACTTGTAAATGTAGTCGAAGTAAATTTGAATATTTGAATAAAAAGATTTTTTGAAATTACCGAAATTTTTAATTTATTGACAAAATGTTTAAGCACGTTAGCAGTATGATTAACATCCGAAACACTTGATATCCCTTCAACGGAAACGCCGAATAATGCTGACATTTGCTTAAGTGATTCCAAGGATTTGATGGCTCGTTCCAAATCTCGAAGGCACTTAATTAGTTTTGGCATTTTAATCATGAATTGTAATGGTCTAAATACACAAATGTACATGCTCAATGTACCGAAGTATTTGAAATACTCAAATTTATATTTCCCGGATATTTATTGGTTCAGAATTCCTGACCACTTTTAACTTTCAAACAACGCCCAGTTCCTAATAGAAATTCCCTTTTTAAAATAGAATAAAAAATAACCATGGAATAATTCTCAGTGATTTCAACAACTCCATAAAAGTTAGGAGCTTTTGCAACACCATCCTTTTGCATATTTTCTGTTGTATTAGCATTTTCACTCTCTGAGATATGCTGAAAACTTTTCATATTTTGCACTTTGTTATTTAACATTATTAGCAAATAACAGTACTGATCAAGCATGGTGAATTATCTTAGCTATCAATTAACGGCCTTGTATAACTATGGAATTGAATATAAGCTTACCAACCAAGTTATCAGTAATAGCCGAAGTTGGCTGATAACACGGATTTCTTTTCAGCACTTCAATAATTTCTTCCAATTTCTGTTCCATTTTTTGAATGGGTGCTAGACGATCGGTTAGTTCAAGAAGACGTCGTTCCGTTCGCCACATCATATTGCTAACATCTTGTGAACTTTGGCTTCCTGTTACCCTACTGGAATTGCATAATGTCTTTTCCTTAAATTCAAAAATTCTTAAAAACTCAGACCTTTGTTGTGCTACTTAAACTATTTCACATCCTAAAGTGATATCATATTCTACTGAATATTTAATTCAAAACTTTGATAAAAGTGTAGAATTATGGAATATCTATTGCAGAAGTGTTGAACATGACAAAAAGTCATTTCAGCAAGTTGCATGCATTCAAATGCAATCCAACCTACTTCTTGCAGTATTTGTTTGATGAATGCTTGTTATTTTTCCACTTTACATTTTCCTTTTGTAATCGTTCTTGCCAGTCTCGATTTAAATCATCCACTCGATTGTTCATCTGCAAATTATTCAATAATCTTGATCTTCATCAATTTCAAGTTTCTTTCTTTCTTCTTTCTTCAATCATTTCACATATTTTCATAATCCATTTGGAATATATTCGTCTTCCGTATGATGCAATGTTTTTAGCTATCGCTTTTGTGATAAAAATTTGTTTGAAAATAACACCTCAATTATAATTTCATTTGTGGCGTTATTGATTTTTTGCAGAACTTTTTCCAATTCCGCGATTTTCTTCGACATTAAATGTCTTTCCATCAATTTGTCCTTTAACAAAGGAAGCACGCTGATAAAATGCGATTTTTGAAAATTGGAATAAATTCGATCTCGAAGAATTTTTTCTCCATTTCTTCCGTGGACTGTTGACTTAAATTTCTATTTTGTTGTTCTTCCAGTAAATGTTCTGATTATTCAGAAAGAAACCTTTAAAGCGATAATAACTCGTTTCACTTCTTCCATATTCATCTTCACCTTTGCTCGTTTAACATCCTAAAACTTGTCATATCATTTCCTCGTCATTGAATTGATTTGAAATTTCGCCAAAGATAAATGAAGAATTCACTGTTTGTAATGTTGAAAGATTTAAATGATGTTAACAACCAAACTGTAAAATGATCGTAAAGGTGCTATTGTCCTCAGTGAAAGCATTACAAGTGAACTATTTGTAGAGTAGTAGAGTAGTTGACTATCTTCTTAATTACTTTAAATGCAAGTTACGATACTTATCCATGGAGGAATGAATTAATTTAATCAATTCATTTAGCAATTCAAAATAGGAAGTTGAGATGGATTTATCCAATCGATCCGATTAATTAGTACAAATGGAATTGAATCGATCCGGTTGCTTGTCCAATTAGTTGAATAGATGCAACTAACCCGTCCGGTTATCATACCATGGCAATCATCGTAATACTCCGCCGAACTTCTCAATAAACTACTGCTATTTGCTTGCTTCTTCGACATATCCCGCTTTTTTCCGGTAAGCAATAACAAACTGCCTTGTATTCAGGATAATATCAGTATGGCTGGCACCCCAACAACTGGGATGGAACACTCAACTGATCACATTTGCGCCTTTTCCTATCCATTTTATATTAAATTTTGTAGATATGCAAAAAAAATTGCCGCCATGTGATGCGTCACGTCAAATTAAGTTACATTCATTAATGTTCATACCAACCCTTCTCATTAACGCAAACTACCGTGGATGGAATAAAGTTTGTCACAGAGCGACCGTCAATGTAGCATACTAAACGTATGGTTGACAGCCATGGGGTAATTGGTGATTTTTTTTTGATACCAAACATGGCATTTGAATGTCACCTACTCTGGTCGGACTCTTTTCATTTCATTTCACTTGAAAAATGTGCTGTTTAATATGGAATACAATGCGGAAAGAAGCTTGAACATGAAGCAGATGTTGAATTGCTATAGGTTATTATCGAACGTTATGAACAGACGTTTTATAAATGATGTCAGCTGTGGAAATATAAGAATTGCTGACAGTTAAATAGAGTTAAATTCGAAAGAAATATCGAAACTTATCATTTTTCAGATTCTCGTATGAATGCACGCAATCATCAGTTCCAGTTAGTAAGTCTCCGTCTTTTCCTGCTGTGCTTTTGTAGCATTTTTTACGTTCTGGGAAGGTTTCCCTTCTTACCTCACATGTGTACTTATTAATGTACACCTAGTAATTATTAATTAATCCATTTATTCACGAGTTTATTCATCTAACTTGCTCGTTTAATGTTTTTTAGACTGTTGATGAACATCAAGTACGAGATGCAATCTCAACAATCTTCCATACTATCCTTTTGCATAGGAGCGTGCCTAAAGTAATTTTCCGTCTTCTTTGAAAATGCGCTGTAAACTTTCCCTTTCATCACCATAAAGTGCCGTTTGATAGAAGGTGATATGTCCAGGGCGGTATTAACTTTTTCCTTTGTAGAACTGGAAGTGATGATGCTTGTTTTGGGTAAGACAATTTTGGTGAAGAATTTTTTTGATCCTTCGAGACGATGAAAAGTTGGGGGATTTAACTTGTTCAACATTTCACTTTTTTTTTGCAGATGCATTATACTAGTGAAATAAACTTTCAACTCGGGTCTATTGGTGTTGAGGAAGTGGATTGTAACACTTTGAATTTAAGCTATGTAAGTTTGTTTTTTTAGGTGGACATGGACACAGAAACATTTTTGGCAATTTGTTATGCGTAGGTTGGGAATACTACTGCGGAAGTAAAACGCTGCATCACGTAAATATCGTTTTATGTCCCATCCTCCGATATATTTTGGTATGGAGCAAAAGAAATCGATTAATTCATCACAAAGTTAATGGTTGAAACGTTTAGGTACGTGTAAATAGTCCAAAACTGGTTTCATGCTTGCATGAGGAAATTGATTCTTTCGTGCAGTGCGTATGGCATTCCATTGAAAGTGTTACCGCACCTCGATTCTATTCTCCACCACCAGTATCACTGCTCACTCATTATGGGACTCCACTTCTGAATGCTAAGTTGGCTTTAGTATTTCTTTTTTTCTGAAAGTTAAATTGTTCGTGATGTATGTGACTTTTGTCTTTTTTCAAAACATCATATAATGCCGAAATTTCTAATAATTTTCTGGTGATATGATAGCCTATTTCAGGATTGATTTAGAATTCTACCAAAAAAAGAAACGGTCGTGGCCGCTATCAGATTATGAACTCCCATGGGAAATTTGGCAAATGCAACTTGGTGTGGTTAGAATCAAAGAACGGGGTGATTACATAATACCTTTCCTTATTATAATTCGATTAATCTTAGGTTTACTACTAAAGTCTCTAGACAAGCTCGAGGTATTTTTTAGGTGTTATAAAGGTATGTGAGAGCCATGGTCGTGCACTGAATTTTATGATATGGTTTTCACCCAACTTCTGGAAGGGTTTGCGCTTCTCTGACTTTTTTGTATGAATTACAAATTTCAGGGTTGTGCAAGCACTTTCACGCTTAGTTCTGATAAATCCGCTGTATTTATTAGATACAGCGAATTTTTTAAAATTAAAGACTTTTTTAAATTAACTTTTTAAAATCACTTCATAATTAAAGCGATTTTTCAGAATACTGGGAAAGAATGCGTGAAGAGGTGGCGGATTCGGTATCAGAGATTGTGCTGAAGGCATGCTCACTGATTAGTCGACCTCAATACATGCCACAAATGCCTACACGGTCGGAAGTGACGAGTATTTTTAATACAAGTTTTCTTGAATGTCAACCGTACCTTTTCAGAATAGTCAAACATCCTCTTGATTCGGGTAATCATTTGTCATTTTCTCAGTTATTAAATGCAGTATTCATAAGTTTTCTCTATTATTTTGTGCGAATCTCTTATTTTAAATGTCAAAACCAAGCAGTACTAATTTCATTGACGCTGCAGTTTGAATTGCTGTAATGGCTGTTAGTTATAGGTCAAAATACGGAAAGCACCTTAATGACGATTGGTGCATCTGCGGTCAAGAAAATGTTGAGAGATACGTTCTTGTCGTAAAATCTTGGAAATATTTCACGATTCGCCAATATTTTATAGTCCATAAATCTCTGTAAATAATCCTAAATTTATGTGGTCTTTACTTATGTTATTGTACATTAACTTTGCACAAGGTTTTTCGCTCGACTTTTTGATACTCGTTGTAAATAACTACTGTTTGTTTTAGGTTTGAAAGCTGCTATCTTTGTTTTACTGCTATCTGTGTCTCTACGTATGTGTGCTTTTTTTATTTTTTTTTTGATGAAGTTAAATCCACTGTATTATTACTTAGTAAAGTCAAAGCTTTTTTTAGTTTTCCGGTGAGTTTTATTTTATAGTGAATGAGTGCTAACTGTTACACGTTCTGGGATTAGCTTACAGATTCGAAATACTGTCATATGCACTCGGCAACAACTTTGATGAATCTTTGGATATGAACTCATGGAAACGCATTTCACGTTATGTGCTTTAGCTCGGTGCACTGGTTTCTCGTTGCAGCATGTTTTTTTCTTTCACCGCTCAGCTTTGTAAATATCATTTTTAGAGATACTGCTTCTCATGGAATGAAATTTTTTTTGCAAGATGAGATTTATCTTTCAGTTTTGATTTACACAAGTAAGCGTGAACTTGTCCGATCGTTCCTTCCTGATAGCACTTTTGCTGCGTCATGTAATTCTTGAATTGAAAAAGAAAAACTTGTTACTCATGGTTCATACATCTATATTCTTGTGCATGACTGAAATAGAACTTTGTGTTGTATATTCAGTTTTGCTTTTGCCAGGAATCCAAGTCAAATGTTTGTCAGTAAATGTAAGTATAAATATAAATAAATATAAATATAAATACAAATATATAAATATATTTGTATTTGCATTTACATTTACATTTATATTTATATTTATATTTATGCTTATATTTATATTTATATATATTTATATATACATTTATATATGCTTATATATACCCTGATGATATATATATATATATATATATATATA